GAGCAAGACAAGTATATTATACATGTATATATAATATATTATAATCAAATTAATGAAATAAATTTTTATAAATAGTTATTTAAATTTCCAAGACCACCCCGTATGACGATATATGGTCTTTATTATATTATACATACGATTTAAACACAATCATACATGACTTGAGGGTGTATAATTTCACCGAATCTATGTTTAATGCTTTTATTGCAAATTAAACTATTGTGAATGCACCAGGGTAATTTTTTTATATTTTTTACCCAGCGTGCGTGTGTTCGCAGCATGTCGGGATTTGTTCGGGAAACAAACAAAAAAAAAGAAAAAAAGAAACTACTATTTTTTTGTTTCCCCGACAAAAGTCGTAAAAGAGAATAAAAACATATTCTGAATATTAAACAATGGATTATTGTTAATGATATAATAGGCTCTCAGGGTGGCGGATCGGCGTGAAAACTAACAGTTCCAGTCACCCGTGGTGATTTGACAGACAGCTAACGTAGTGACGGGTATGAATTATATATATGTATAATAATACTAACCGTTTTGACACCACCCTCGTAGATTGCTTTATTATTTTTATATATTTATTGTGTAGGTGGGTTAAACGATGAAATAATGAGCCATACCGTATAATATACACGCCTAACTAAATCATATATCTGATACCAGGAATACCAAAAATCACGGAAATAATAAAATGTGACATTCGCCTATATATTTAAACGTAATATATGAACACTATTTAGTATTTACGTAAATAAATAACTGTATTTAATATATTTATATAAGTATATTAATACAAAATATGCTCTTAATATTTTAGAATTTAAAAATATAGATAGATTAATCAAAGTTAAAAACTAGAATATTGTAATGTAAATTAAGTAAACATTTTAGTACTTAATCACTTTTTATTCAAATAAAGTCGAATTTTTAAAAATACAATATAAATACGTATTGAAATAAAATTAGGCAATAGTTTTAATATTAAATTTATTAGTTTATTGTTAAACAATGGTATACCATTAATTTAATTTATTTTTGTTTTGGGGGAGGAGAAGGTTTTATAGTCTTTAAAATAATATTTATACGAAATCAATAATAATATTTGATATCAACGAAAGTTCAGAGAATATTAACACATTTTAAACATTACATTAGAATATCTAAATTAATACATACATATTAAGAAAATCTAAATATTTTCGTTTAATCTTATTATACCTAAACGGGTAAATATAAGATCTTACAATTTTACAATTTTAATATCATATGTAAACTCTCTCAATGGTACACTTTTCCAGGTCTACTTAGTAATGTAATCTGAAAGATAAATAATAACTTTCCCAAGTACGCAATAAATTCATATATTCTTCATATAATCGATTCATTATAATTTAATGTTTAAATTAATATGAACAAAAAAATTTAAAAAAATTTAATTATATAAATTATTTTCTTTAGCTGTGAGCTATAATAATAGTAAGGATATTAATAAAGTAAAGGTTTCACGTATAAGTCCAGTATATAAATTGCATTGTTTCAGTAGATTAAAACTTTGATCTTTTAGTTTTGTGAAAAATGCTGATTGTATAGTACAATAGGTACTTAAAATAAACAGAATGTTTACCCGGACAAATTTACTAGTCTTAAAAATAAAGAGAGTTTATCATCATTGCCCACATAAGATATTTATTAATGAGTGTAAGTACGCAACAATAGCTTAAATTATTATAGTTTTTTACTAACCAAAAGTTATATTTTAAATCAAATTAAATGTGAACATGTAAATTTAAGTAAGTATCTAATGAAAAAATTTAATTAGTTCTTGTTGTTGTTTTTTTAGTTATATTTTTACGTAAAAATACATTTTAAAAGTTATTTTCTATTCCTATAATTGAGTAAATAATATTAAACTTATATAATCCCTACATATTCCTAAGAATTTAGTCAGATAAAAGTTAAATATTGGTAATGTCCTATAATTCAACGGTCCTACAATTTTATATATCATATTAAAAAACGCGACACTAGATTCGTAATATAGTAAAACTTATACTATATATAGTAACTCATCATAAATTACATTTATTATGTTGATGTCTGCTTTTTGTTGCAGTTATATCTATAAAACGCATTTCCAAACAATAATATGATGCATATAATATGTTTACGTATTATTTTCGGCTATATAACGTGTGTGAAGTACGATAAAGTGGTGTATGTCTGTTTTTCTATTTTTTTTTTAACAGCTATACAATTAGGTTCGAAAAGAAAAAAGTCGTAAAAAAATAAAGTAAAACATCCGATTAAACGTTTTGTTCGGCTCTGGGATAAAGAAAGTATAATATAACGTCTTTGTCGGTATTTTTTTCGGCGACACATACATATTATACACTTAGGCGATATCTTAAATAGCTATATGTGTATCAGACTTCCTACATTTTTTTAAACTTAAACTAGCAGCAAATCAGTTACAATGGCCGTCGCATCTGGTGTGCACCCGGAACAAAATGGCGGCGACGGCACCCTTTGCGCCCTTTTTTCTCTTTCACTATTGATTTCCGTTTCCCCTTATTTAATACCATACACGTATTTGTCGCCACCGTCTCTGTACATGCGTACGAGCCATTCGACCGAGTGAGATGTTATATGTGCGCTGTGTCTGTGTGTGCGTGTGACAATAATAATATAAATCCCAAAGGAAAAAGGGAGAACGCGTCCCTTTCGTACATTATGTATACATATATGTTACGTATATATATATATATAGTTGCAGAATATTACGAGTATTATATTATTATTTTAAAAGGATTTCTTTTTTGTCTCCCCCATTTGCCCTTTTCTGAATATAATATACCTAACCTACAATATAAGTACGCGCTTGTATTATAAAAAAAAAAAAAAATCATAATCTACGCGAAAATCCATACAGACACTCCTCTTCCTCCTGCATTTTCGTCTCGTAAACACTGCCCCCCATTGATTGTCAACGCGTCCATATTGTTATTGTTGTACTATTCAGTAGTTGATGAAATGTTATAATAATATATTACATTGATAACACTGCGTATACATATTATATAAGCATCTATTGTAAATGTGTGTGTAAGTGTAGTGTGTTCACGTGTTTAATATATAGATGAGTAAAATTGCCATGTTTGTATGTCTTTCAACAGAACGTTTTGACAACCTAAAACGGGCTATACGAGTGGAACACTGATTAATCGATATTATATATGAAAAGAAACGTGCCGTCATTAACTACATATTATATATAAATATAAAGGTACCCACATACATATAATTTACGATATCGTAATTTTTAGTTGAAATTTGAAATGGTTACACTTCAATATCTGTGTATGCGATATAATATACAATTACGGTTTACATATGTTTTATATCTTTAACTATGTACATATACTCGTACATATGCAATATGCTTTGGTTTAAATTTGAACTGAACCTGTATTGGCAGTATTTAATTGAGTGTATTTTTTTTTATATCGAGGCTGCCTATCTTATTCGGCGTTTGTGATTTCCTATATCATAAAAGCTCATAAAGAAAAGGCATGTGCGTTTCTTATACATCGTTGGTTTTTAACATAAATGTAATTAACTAGTAAGTAAGTCGTGTATATAACATAAGTATAGGTAAGTACTACATTATACGCTATACGTCTGTAGAAAATATTTACATTTTGTACTACATCTGAAAATATTACAACGGTCCATATAATACTATTGGTAGGTACATATTATACTAATTAATATCCTACTTCTACAGTTTTACATGAAATACCTAAAAATAGGTATACAAAATTCCAAACAATTTGAATACTAAGAAACTTTTGAAGTACAAAATACATTTAAATTAAATATACTAAAGATATCTCTAAATAATATAAGTAAAATAAAATATCTAATATTATGTACAATCGTATCATTACGTATTCTTTATTGTATTTTTAATTATTACGATAGCTGGCTAGCAGGTATAATAAAACAGATTTTGCATTGGTATTATAATGTAATAATAAATAAATATTGTACATCCTACCACCTATAGTTTTATTATTTTTTTTATTATTAAAATAAAATCGTATTTAAATCAATTTATATTTGAAATAAAATAATAGTTCCAACAATGGTCTGTCATAGAAAACAAATAAAACAAATACGCGATGAAGACAAATATTCAAGCGAATACTGGAAAGATATATACAAGAAGAATAAGTTTACTGTAGATTCAATTATTTGCATGACATGTTTTGGGATTGGAATAATTTTATCTAACTTTTTGGTTAGATAAACGGACCATTTTTGTCACAAAATCAATACAACAATGCTTAAATAAAGTACTTACATAAAATCAATTTTCGAATTTCATGATACATTTATTTTTTTTAGATACATTAGAAATAATAAATAATAATAAATACTAAATTAAAAACTTCATCTTTCAAAATATAGACACGATAATATTTTTACAAGCACGTACATCATAATAATAATATGTGGTAAATTTAATAGGTAGCTAGTTATATATACGTCTGTGACCTGTGTATTTGTTTAATTAAAAATTAAAATCACAAAAAAATACTATTCCATTAATGCGTTTTTTTATCATTTTTACGTAATCATATATCATTCCAAATTATGTTGTCACTATTCTCATGTTAAATTATTAAACGTGGGAGTATAGTTGACACAAATCTATCATATTTTTTCCGCAGTAGTTATAAACATGTTGTATCAACTTAGATAAAACCATTTGCAGTGATCATTGACCTAAACTACTTTGACCGCAAAACCAAATTATATTAAGTTATCAATAACTATTTATCTTATTTTATGTTATGTTGTTATAAGACTAAAGTAATCAAATAATGAAAAAAATTGATTGTATGAATAAAACATCAAATAGAACATTAGCAGGTTTTTGTAAATTCAAATTATAGTTATTCTTAAGATAGTTTTTTGTTATGAGCTTTACTTACCATTCCTCGTTCTTTTTCGAAATTACAAGTACCATTGGTAGATTGATGGTATGAAGGAATCGGCATACTTGGAGTAAACATTAATTGCAAATTGGTTCCAGTCGCAGTGAATGCCTATAATATAGATAAATAAATAAAAGATAGATATAGATATTTAGGTATATTTTAAGATAATTATGTATAATACATTATTTTTTACAATTTAGTTTATGGTTTTTTTTTTTTTTACTTTAAATTATCCTATGTTAATGAATAGTTATTGTATAAAATAAGAAAAATATTTAAATACTAGTTTATATTTTAATTTTTGATAATTGTGTTTTAAATAAAAAGAACTTACAATGTCTACATGACCTTCACGGCATCCGATTTGAAATCGACTTTGACGTTCTTCATGTGGTCTGTCTCTGTAACCGGTGTATCGAACCTAAAATCATATAATAAAACAAGTTATTTATATTTCAATACACAATAAATATTATACATATTTGACAAAATATTAAAACTCGGGATGTATGTATTATATTGAGTCTAACGTCTAACCTTTAAAAATCATAATCATACTATATATATTATATATATACAATAATCTATAGGTACATGAATAATATTTTAACTTCTAAGTTATAATAGCATATTAAAGTGTCATTGCTCATACTTTTATGAAAAAATGTTAATTACTCGTATATATTCATTTTGAAATTACAAAATGTATTGTATTTTTAGTTAATTATAATTTTTAATCTGTTGCACACTCTTATCTATGTAATATGTTTATAGAAATAAATTGTATATATAAAGGTTTTAACGATGATATATTATATAGTATGAATATCTCTAGAAAAATTAACAATGGAATTCATTTCTATAAAGTTGATTACAATTAATTATAAATTATTTATAATAAAAGATTCAATAAAACAACGCCTTACTAGTATTTTACCAGGATTGTGAATAATTTAGCGATTTTACCTTTCTTTAAACTATTATTAAAATATTACCATTTCAAGAATAACATTTTATTTAAAAGCATATTACTTTTTTTGTTTTATCGTAAGATTAAAGAAAGGAGAATGACGGATTTGACATTTTATAACAATAATTATCAGTAGATATATTTATAATATTTGAATGCAAAAAGTTTGTTTTTCATTCATTATTTAAATAATCATTTTTTTTTTTTTTTTTTCATGAAACTTTATTTTTTCTTAAATAATATATTTTGATGAGAAACATAGACAATAAACTAGTTAAGTAGCAAAGCAAGTTAACCAAATTAGAAGTTTTTTAAAATCGAGTTTTTCAGTTGGACAATAGCTGTATCATTGAACTAAATTAGTCGTTTTTTATTAAGCAATTTGAAATGATTATAAAATTTTCCCCTCGTATTTTAATGAACAATATATTTTTATCAACTATTATTTTTTTACATTTTTTCAGTTTTACGTTTTAAATTTATAACACTTAAGGCAGGGTTAGAACAAGATTTAGGTACTGTATATCCATACAATCAAAGCTCAAATTAGAGGGATGCGCAAAAAGACAGAACTCCTCCACTATGTTATTTTTTATTTGCGTTCCACAATTATTATTTTTAATGCGATGGAGGAACGGCATTATCTATTATCTACGTTAGTTTTTCATCAAATATAAATTTAAATTTTTATCAATGATACTGTATTACAATTTGTAGAACAATGTAATATATTTTATAATTTTTAATTTTTTTTTCTGGAAAGTTTCAACTGTGTTTTAAAATATTGTAACTAGTGAAAATAAATTATGATAATTGAATATTTAAATGATCATAAACTTATGTATTCATTAACATAAAAATATAAAATATAAATATTTTAGTATTTAAAAAAATCGAGTGATGATTGGGGGTGTTAACTGTTGGTGACTTTCCCCACGGGCCACAGGTATGTGTTAAATTATTTTTCAATTTATACATAGATTTTAAACTCTTAAATTGAGCTTCTCTACTTAATTTTTTCTAATTCAACTAATTCAAGCACTACATAATAAACTTATTATCATATTCATTACCATTTAAAACTAATGAACAAATCATTAAAGGCTAGTGGTCTTCTAAAATCAAGGCAAGTTGATTTGTATATTTTTAAATCAAATTATAAGATAACTTATATTTATGATTCATAAATATTAACCTAAGTTTAAAAATTAATTAATTAAATACAAATATTTGTTATATTTTAACGTTTTTACCTATATTTTCTTTGTGTTAACATGATTATTGTTTAACTATAATTAAATTTGTAATACCTGTTTAGTTTCAAAGTACAATATATAAGTAAGTGCTACCTAAAGTTTATATTTTATTATTTTCACCTATAATGATATGTTGTTCATTAAGTAATTAATATCTTTATTTTTTTTTTTAATTATAAGAAAACTAATTATATTGAGTTAACTTGCCTTATAAATGGGATCAGTTGGTTTGATTATTTATTTTAGTTTTATTCGTTTGATCAATTGCCAATTTTTAAATAAGACATTAACTTAAGTTAGTAATATAGGTTACGTATTACTGAACTATTAAGTGTAGTTTGAACTTCAAAGTCACAACAGTCAATAAATTAAAAATATAATAAACATGAAAAGTAAGACAATTAACCTCGGTCTCTTTTATGTAGGTTTTTAATATATTGGACATATTATTTATGTCTACAACAACTTTCATGTCATAAAAATAATTACGAATTTATCTTTTTATTTTAATTAGTAAAATGTTGTAATTTTTAAAATTCATAGCCTTACATATCGATATACATTTTCAATATTACAATTACCTACTTACGTATAATCCTACACTACATTACTACTATTTAATAATAAAAAGTTTGACCTCAAACTCACAAGTTTAGAAATTATATCAGTGTGTTATCTTACATTTTGTGTTTGTATTATTATTTTTATTATTTATTATCTAAACGTGCAGATTAGTCAGAATATCAAGTTTAAAGCATAAATATAGTAGGTATCTATACATAGCTAGTACATACAATCAGGCGCGGATTTAGGGAGGGAGGCAAAGGGTTTCCCCCGTAGGCTGTGTTCCATTTAGGAAAAAATGCTTAATAAAAAAAAGTCGTAACAGATTTTAAGTTATTTTTAATATTTTCCCCCCCTCCCGTTAACTGCATACAATGTGTTATATCTCCATATTTGTATACGTATATTATTAATATTACTAGTATATAGAATATATACTACAATATTTGGTTTTACTAATTATACCAATTGAGATAATCTAGGTACTATACGAAATTATGTTTATAGCAAAAATATTTATATTAACAAATAATAGTAGTATTAAATTTGTTAATAACTATAAATGTATATATAAAAATGGGTGGCGAGGACTGTGTAGATAAAAACGAATAAATCAATTTGGCTATTTTTCAAATAAAAATATAAATATAATGTAATAATTACCATGACACTACCTCATCGTCATACTTGTAAACGTGTTTATTGTAATTAGGTAGTCGCAAGAAACATAAAACACGTTTTATACGTAAAGTATCTACTACATAATATAATTATAATAATGTGGTTAGTAATTACTTATAAGGCAATCATTATAGGTAAAGTCGGGAAAATTTCGTGATTCACCGTTCATTTTTTGTTATACAATCTTTCACCTTTTTTAGCTCTTTTAGATATGTATGTCAATATTATTATTAAAATATATAAGTAGATTTGCGACATTAGGTAGGTAAACCGAATTACTCACTATCGTTTGATTATTTGAACATACCTAATATACTAATATGTTATACAGATTGATTACTCACTATACACAATCATAAACTTAGTATTGATCATGCATAACAGATAAAATAAATAAGGTCAGTCGACATTGTCATAAAACAAATAATTTAGTACTTGAAATACCGTTGCGAGTATTATTATAAAAACCAATATAACCTACTCTATTTCATTAAAATCAAAAAATAATCTTATATTTTTATTTTATATTGAAAAATATTATTGTGTAAGGTTATTATATTGAAACTAAATTAGTACAAATACCAACATATTAACATATTGTAATGTATTTGGATATTCTGACATAAATTATTTTATTTCTGATCATCGCTGTATGCTTTTACTAACCCCTCTAAATTTTCAAACCACCTCAAATATTTTATTTAAGATATTTTTTACATTCAATATTCATAATTTCCTTTTATTTATTTATTATTATTTTTCTATTTTTTTATTTTTTGGTTGCTATGATAGTCATAAAACAATGAAAAGCAAAAAAATACAAAACTATTTTGAATAATAGAGTAACCAATAAATGAGAACTGAGAAGAATATAAACAACCTAATGAAAATATAAATTATCAAAACATTTAGTTATATGATTTTAATATATAATATATATTGTGATTATGTAATATTATTTAAATTATTATATTTTTATATTTTATTATCAAAACATTATTTATAATATAAACTAACAATAAAAGGCACCAACTAAGATAATACAATTAGTGAATCTTATTTTTACAAATTTATAATATAATCTATATGAATTATGAAATAATAAAGTAAATTACATTAATATTTTTATTGAAAAAAAGCAAATTAATTTTCTTCGGTGATAATTAAATAGGTACCTAAATCAATTTTCATCAAGTGTGATATATGTAAAAAAAATCTGATTAAACAAAAATCACTACTTATTGTATTAATTATTATAAAATAATTTAACTATAGACATTATAGTAATATCATTAATTAATAAATAATAATTGTAAACCTACATTTAAATTTTCTATAAACAATTGTATATACATTCAAATTTGACGACATTAAGTATTTTTTTTCCTAGTCATGTATCTATCATTATACTATCCTAACCATTATACTTACTAGAGTTAAATGTATTTATTACAACCCTTCTATAATGATAATATTCATAATATAACCCTATGTAATAATAATAAAAGTATACTGTGTCACCGAATTCCAATGATACAATACCCATAATAGACTTGGGCCATTTATACTGCAGACTGACTTTTTTTCATTTAAAAATTGAATACCTACTCAAAATGCAATTCATACCATGACGTGATAAATAACAGTCTTAACACCCACCAACCTGAATCAGCAGGGGGTTGCTTTGAAATACTCAAAAATCGTTTTTAACACATATCTACCACTTACCAATTGTACCAAACGATGTACATTATTCATTTAAGTCACTAGAAAACCAAACTTCACTGTTAAATTATTTTGTTTAATTATGAATATAGGACTAAAAATATATATATATATATTCAGTAATACCTGAAGAATTATACTACTCTGTGTGTATTTGATATTTTTTTATGATGTTTAATTAGTCCTAAATAACGTAATTTTGTATAATTTAAAATGAAAATTAATGTATAAGTATGGACTATAGGTATCTAAAAAAAAAAAATTAATTAAACTAATCAAAATTATTTTTTAATATAATTGTTGGTATGATATTATAATGAAACTTCGAACATATTATTACTACTAACGTTATAACATATTAACATAGTACATTTTAAAATACTCAAAACTTGTTTCAAAATAAAAATATCAATTAAAAAGCATATAGTTGAGCTCTAGACAAGGTTAGGTTACCTTTAAATTTTTAATAAATCAATTCAGTCTAATATTACAAATAATATAGTAAAATGGATTCTTCATTCGTAACGTAAAATTTGTTAAATATCCTCTTATGGAATTTAAACTGAAGGTTTTTGCACTAGTAGTGATAAAAGGAAGCTTTTCGTGTAATTTATATTAATTTTTTACTTATTGTACAAATAAATATGACATCAGATTGTATTCCTCTATTTTCAATAAAATAAAAAAGAATATACAAGGCAGTTATATTTTATAAGATATTATACAATAATATAGGTGTTGATGATTAATGATTCATTTTTTAAATAAATATTTCTTTAAAAGTTATTATAAGTAATAATTAATTGGCATATCTAAGTATTTATCTGTATTTATATTAGTGTTGTATTTATTTTAAAACGATACAAACTCCGTTTTGTACAGCTATGTACAAAACTCAAATAAACAAATCAATAATAAATATATTATATATTTAAAGAATAGTGCGTGTACCTATATTCAAATACTCAATCTATCTAACATTTATATTTTATATAACAAGTAAAGTACTATAATATCTACTAAGACGTAATTTACCTACTTATAATTTTTGATTAAATTTCATTTAAATGTTTACACAATGTACTACAATTTTATATGTATATTATTATTTATTACATTGTGTATTATATGCGATAATTTACATAATTTAAATTAAAATAAATTGTCGATTAAAATATTAAAATGTGGTATTTCTATAGTATTACTATCATGTTCAGACATGCAGACATTAAATAGTGTTATTTACAATATGTTAATAAAATAGCAATCTAAATAAATCTGTAGCTTAAATCCTGAAATCGATAATATTTATTTTCACAGTAATTCATTGCTATAATTTACTTTAAATGTATAATAAGACTAAATTTAAAAGGAACAAAAATATATGTAGCCTATTAATGGAAAAAAAAAGTACCTAAAACATAGCAAATCTCTTGTTTAGTTTTTAAAACACAAATATATAAATCCCCTGATAAGTCGTAAAATTAAGTAATCACAGTAAAAATTACATCAAAACTTTTATAAATAGTCTATAATAAACAATATTATAACATTATGATATGACTATTGATATAATTATTTAACAGTCTATAGTTTGTAGTCTTCATTGCTATTTGTGTTATCTGCCTATATTATAAACTATTTACCTAACTATAGCGTGCATATAGCCTATACACCTATCAAACAGTAAAATTATACTTTTATTCAAATGTAAATAAATAATACTAATGTATTATATATATGTATTATGTATACCTATGTCTACATGTGTCTTATGAGTAAAAATTATTTATGGATTGCATTGCATAGTACATCATAAAGTAAACTTTTAAGTTAGGTATAACAAAATACAAAAAAAAAAACCATATAGTAGGTACCTATACAATTAGACATGAAACTGTTTATACTTTTATAATATCGTATGTTCGAATGATACACTCCGATATATGGTAGTACTACCATATGTCGGAGTGTATCATTACGCTGAGTACCTACTAAAATATATCATGATATAAATGAACATAAGCCATAGGGTATAAAATTAAGTGTCTATATGTACCTACAATGTGTGAATGTGTGATAGATATTTATGAAAATAAAAATTATGTTAAATTATAAAAGTATATAGAGGTAAAATAGATTACTCACGTCACTCTCGCGACTCAAACGCCTGAAGAGTTCGTCGGTTTCGAATTTGTTCTTCTGGTCGGGCACGACTCGCGGCATTTTGAATATGAAGCGAGGCTTGGGCGGCTGCTGCTCGTAGAGGCTACCGCACATCGGGTCAAACGGCATCATACCGGCAGCCATTGATCCCAGATCGTTCATCATCAACATTATTTCGATGTGTGTTCGGTTAACTTTTTGATTTTTAATATACACCTATCACGAGTGTATATATTAGGTGAGCGTATGATTATACGTCGTGTAGACGATATTATACGACTGCGGCGGTTTTCGAAAAAAAAAAACGCTCACCGCTTACAGTATTGTCTCGGAGTACCTAAGTAAGATTCGGAGTGTTCGCTGTGTGCAATAATCGTGCACTGTAGTGTGCGCGTAAAAATAATTACTAATGAAAAATTTTTAAAAAAATTAACCGTGCGCTAGTAGAAGCGGACGGCACGACGACGCGGGACCGTTTGCCGCGCGCGGACGAGTTGACGGTAGCAGCAACGAGTTTCTGAGGGGCGCGCGCGTCCGTCCCGACCGAACGACCAATAGCGAAATTTCACTAGCGATCTGGTCTCCACCCATTTTTGTCAGCGGCGGCGACCAGAGAGGGTTCTTGGGTTTTCACCCTTTGCCGATTGCTCTATGTCTTCTACAATTACATTTATGCAATTTACATCGCTGCGAATGTACACGACGTGAATAATAATTAAAACAATATTCTTATGGTCCTGCGATGTTCATTACACGTATCACGTATGTTACTTTATGTAGTACAGTACGCTAAGCTGATCCTGCACGGCGCGATTCGTGACAAATTAAAAAGGTACCTACTCATATTCTTAAACTTCGTTAATATTAATATTAAATGTAAAATGCGCAGATTTTTAGTTAGGTAGGTACCTACTATTTGGTTGTTTCGACCAAGTATAAAATACAAGTTTAAAATTATATCTAATCATAAGAACTATTTTTTATTCTTTGTAACAAACAGCGACTGTATTATATTATATGAATAATAAACGATAGTTTTTCGCGAGTCAGCGACATTTAACAAATATTTGTTGAAAAGGAAAAATTAAGTAATAAAAAATAAAAATAAAAATTCACTAGTGTATTTATGATATTTTTAAACTTCTATAGTAACAACTTACGAAAAACCTTGCACTACATTTTCTAATCTTTTAACTGAAAACTTTTATTTTTAACAGAATTTAAAGAAAAACTCTAAAAAAGTTCAAAATTATTGTGTCTATTAAACTTAAAAACACTGATATTAACGCACAAAATACCAATGTTTGTAACCTTAAAATAATAACAACTGTGAGCTAGGTAACGTCTAACAAGTTGAAGAAATAAGTTTCCCCAATTAAGGGACATAATATTAATCGTACGAATTTTTTTTTTGCAAATATTTAGTATAGAATTTGTATGGATTTATTTTCTAAGAAACTTACATAACAATGTGTTAAGGTTTTAAACATGCTTCTCTATCTTCTGCATAAAACAAATTGTTTTTACATAAACTTTTTATACATATATTTTTTACGAATACCTACTTGGGTTTTAGTTTGTTGTCCAATGATGCGAATAAATCGAAATGTTCCCGCTACTCTTCCAGATGTCAACAAAAAATATATTCACTATTACGTAAAATCTTAAAACAACTTAATACTTATAGCTACTTAATAAAACAATTTAAGTCACTGATTGGTGAGAATATTTAGTAATATAAATACGCTAAAAATATTTTAATCCAAGAACGTTTCACCTATCACTTAATCTCGGTATGCTGATTTAATTAAAACAAAATCAAACTGTTTCAACCACGGTTTATACCTAATATACTATTTTTTAGGCCATGATATCAATTTTCAAACACAGGATAACTATTGCTATACCTATTACCTACCTAAAATATATTTAATATTTAAATTTTAAATTTTAAGAAACAAAGAATTACTTAATGCAGCCATGCAGATATGCTGTTTATTACCTACTTAAATTTCACCCTAATTATAAAAAATTACTTTTAATGATTTTATTTATATACAAGTTAAAATTAATGTGTAACATTATTTATGGTTTACAATTTTTACATTCAATAAAAATGTTATAACAAATTATATTACATTGAATTAATACTTAATAGGTAATAAGTGAGTATAACAACAATTATAACAAAGTTTTATAGGTGCCATTTTATACGATGACGTGTATCTGTTAAAGTTTTTACAAAAAATCGAAGGGGTTGAATTTAGTTGGTAAACACCAAAAAATATTGACTTCATCTTCTTGTCGAAGAATGTCTTTGCGTCTTACTTCTATTTTATTCATGTCATACTTCGAAATTTTTATAATATTGTTTACTGTTTACATATAAAAAATAATAACCAATTCGCGGAGGCTATCACTCGTGGCCCTTCTCACTATCTCCGATGACGTACAATAAATTCCTATTAACATTATTGTTGTCGCATTCGAAGGGAGATTAATTAAATCTGAAATTAATTTGGACAAGAGCCAACAAAATATAATATATACCTACATCGGTCGTGATTATATAATGTGCAAAAATTATTCCGTATAAATATATAATAAATATACCTACCTACCGTTTGATTTAATTTTCAGCGACGTTTGTACATTTATGAATTACTAGCTGAATAATTACTTGGGCTTCGCTCGTGTGTATTTTTGTTTATTTTTTCATATTTACTTCATATAATTATACATATAATACGAGTAATGAGTATTGGTGTATGCGTGATGCGTGATATTATTTTATCGATAAATTTCTAGGAACAATTCATATCTACTAGAAGATATGAGTATGAGTTGCAGATAGCAAACACTGCAAACCTGCGAAGCCAGCCGCTGTACCGCATCATTCATATTAATTAACGAATAATTGAAATTATTAATTAATCCACTTAAACGCAATATTTTTTAAAATCCTTTCTTATTGCGCCGTGAAAGTATTAGAGGAACCACCATTCCAAATTTCAAGTTCGTAGGTTGAGTAGTTTTCGGGATGGAGCGATCAGTGAGTGAAGTATTTGGATTTTATTTGTATAGATATATTTATAGATGTATAATAATATTTTTTTTTTGACAAACAGTAACCACTAAGATTTTTGGAAAATTTAATAGAAATGAAGAAAAAACTATTAATAAATACAATTTATTTGTGTTATTACTATGTTAAACTGTTAGAGAGATATTTTAGTTTACATATTATGTATGTGTATGAAAGTACTTTCCCACCGATAATTGTTACAGATTTGTTGTAGTAATAAATAGTTACACTAGTTGTGATCAATGTTTAAGTTTTTGAATAAACCGTTTTCATATAATCTAAAATATTTATGGTACTATATAATGATACAAGAAAAAATATTTAATTTATTTTATCATAGTAATTTTATGATATTTTTTAAATAAATATTTTTGTTTATTAATTTATAATTTATGTATTCTAAAATCATTGATGTATAAATAAATTTTAAATATTGAACAAATAATTTTTTTAATATTTTTAAGTTTAGATCAGCGGAGTAAAATTAACAAGAATAATCCTCTAATTTCAGATCTCTGCTTATCTTAATGTTAAATATGTTCAAAAATTATCTTTAACTTCAACATTTTTAATTAAATATATATTCTGGACAAAAGTATTTTCTAAATCATTCATATAGAACCTATATAATTTGTTGAACATCAGAAAGTATTAGAGTGTGGCTTTATACAAATTTATAGAATCTTCATACTTCAGAAATAATTTTTCTTAAAAATCCAGCCTTAAACTATGAAATAAAATTTTAGAATGTATTTAATTCCCTTATATTCAATATTTTAATTCACGATTAAAATATTTAGACAAATTAGGATAAAATAATAAGGTGTATTATCATTTTCATAATCTAAACATTTTAAATCAATTAAACAACATAAAAAAAATTGATTAGTGTATTGCTTTAAAAATACAAATGGTTTATTGTATCATTAAATAATTATTATAGCAAAAACCAAAAGTTAAATATAAGCTCGTTATTTTTTGTACAAAGTTATTTTCACAATTTTAAATAAGCAACAAAAAAAAAAAAAAAAAAACCAACAGATTTTTAACTTAATTTTATGGAATTGAATATGGTTGTACTGAAACATAATTTTAATATAAAAAGTTCTAGTATGGTGAGGTATGAACGTTTTAAAAATATCCTAATTTTATATTGTACCTTATTAATTGCATAGTTTGTTTTACAAATTAAAATTATATCAAACACATTCAATTTTACATAACAAGACAAAGTAACAAAATTTTTATAGATAGTACTATTTTAATAAAGGTATATGTTCTGCAATTTAAAATATTTTAACAATATTTCAGAAATTTAATTTATATATTTTATTATATTCATAATAAACATTTATTTGTCTATACAACAATATAGGACTAAGTTAGTATTGTGTTAGTGGAAAAATACAAATATTCAAACAGTTTTTATAATTTTAGAAAATGTAAACTGTATAAACCACAAACATTCAACTGTTTTAAAATAATATAAATTATTTAGGTACTGAAAAATTAATTTATTATTAATATTTTTAACTCCAAAATATAAAACTGAATACACTCGACACGTAATATGTACAGACTATAATAGGTTTAAAAAAAGAATAGAGAAAAAGTAAGGTTTGTAACACATAAATAAAATATAAAATGAAAAAAAAAACAAAGTAAAGCGGAATTACAAATTAGCTGAATAATAATAAAAAAAAAAATAATAATAAAAACATTACATACTAATAATTAAAGATAACATTTGACTACAATCTTTACACAACAGAAATGAGATCGCTCAAATAAATCAAAAATTAAATTAAAACAATGTACATTATGCTTGGATAAAAAAATAACATCAAACATTTTTTCTTTAGGCTTATTGGTACTTTTATCTGGCTGAATAATAATTTCTTCAGTTGGTAATTTAAAAAAAATATATTTATCAAATAATCATCATGAATACAACAGTATAATGTTTATACAATTATTATAATTTATAATATTGGACGGATTCAACCGATAGAAAACACTGAATATTTTGTATTTCTAAAAGTAGAAAACACAGCCATGTCTTATAATAATTGCTTACAATAAAGTAAAAAAGGGGGAATAAAAATGTATACAAGAATATATCTAAAGCAATGTAGGTTCCTGTAAATATAATAATCTTTTTGATTTATGAACAATTATTCTGTTTTATCCACAAGTGTATAATATTAAAAATTGTAGGTATAATAATACTATATTATAATATAATATATTAGCTGTTTTAGAATGCAAGCCATTACAGCAGTTATATTTATTGTTGTATTATTGTTTTTAATCATAATTCATGTTTAAAACTTTTCTGAAAAGGTAAAAAGTAAAAATGAAGAAGACAATGATCTAATGGAATAGTTTAACACATACATTGTCTACAGAACTTGATTTACATATTATACTATAAAACTATGTGGTTAAAATAGAAAGAGCTTCCTAATATTATTATAATTATTTTATGTGCACTACCTCTGTATCACATAGGTTTGGAAATTGTTGTTAGTATACAGTTCTTAACGCCTTTTATAAACTAAGTACCTATATAACATAAATTGAATGGGCTCAAAAAATTGAAAAGTACATTGTGTGTTAGTTATACTAAGTTATTATGATTGGGAAAAAATATTAAAAATGTTATAAAAATTAACGTTTGAAAAAAAATTAACAAATTATTCATTCAAAAAATACTACTCATTGACAACAGTTTGATAAGACTTAAAAATTATAAATAAAAAAAAAACTAATAATAATAATGTGTTGTCAGATGCACAATAAACAGGGTTCGCCACACGTTCAGTGCATCTTATTAACTGTCTCTTTAGCGGAGTAAGGCACATTTGCATATTATCTCTGCCATTTAGATGTCTATTGTTTGTAAAAGCATATGTAGCTGTCTGAACACATTGCCCAAGTTACCCTGGACTGTTTGCCTCTTCAGTACAAATGACCTAATATCCATAAGTATGTTTTGACACTTGCGACATTTGTTGTATCTGTAAATAACAAATGGTCAGTATGATTGGATATATAGCTAAAATAAAGTCAATGGGCTAAGGAAAAACAAAATAATATGATAAGTTAGAAAACATAAAAATATTTTGAATACAATACATCTTTACTGATGAGTTGACATAATGGTCCCTAATATTTTAAATTAATTAAACAATTGATATAAAGTTGTACTAATATAAGGTACATAGAATGATAACATATACTCAATTTTATTTATCAACTATTAAGGTAGTAATATTCATATTAACATTTATTTTTAAGTATATACAATATGCATATTATATGCATTTACTGTTATACAAAAGGAGTGTAGTTATAATATTTATTCATGTGTACAAACATTATCTTACATATTACATGAGTTTATAGGCTCATAAGAATAAAATGAAGATAAATTCACATCATACTATCTTACTTTTGAAAAAAAAAAATGTTACCAACCTTTCTTCTTGCATTATATCAACACCTATTGCAGAAGGTGGTCTTTGTATATTAGTCTTTATGACTGGCATAAAATACTGCAGTATGTCTCTTATGGCTTTGAAACTCACATTTATGAATCTGAAAATCAAAATTAAATTAAAACTTAAAGAGATTAATATAAAATAAACATTAACTAGGCTATAAGGTGGTTAAATGTATCATACATAAACTGCATGTTTTATATTTTTTAATACATTTAATCATTTCCAATATTTATAAAACTGAAATTCAAACCAATATCTCATAGGAAATACGTTAAATCTTAAATGTCTTTTGAATTGTAAGAAAATCCAAAAATGATTTAGTTTATGCATTAACTAAGAAAAGTAAGCAAAATTTTAATGAAATAATCTTATTTAATTCATTTAAGATTGGATACAATTTTAAAGGACCTAGTCATTAAAAATATAATCCTTTACTACTAAGTACTTACGCTTCATTGCCACTTTGAATCAAATCTGATATTGAAGGAAGAAGCATACTGCAAACATCTAGACACCAAAGATTTCTGAAATAAACAAGTACAATATAAAATAAAATTAAACACATTTTAACACAGTGGTATACACATGAGAGGTGTTTAGGTATTTGATATCTCTCCTTTATCAGTTTTTTCATTATATATATATATATATTTTTTTTTTTGTATTTAATTTGACATAAACAATTTATACATTTTTTACACAATGAGTTTATATGCTGAGAGTAATTTAAAGACATGCAAGTTGTGAATAAGCAGCCACCCATTAGTGACTCTTGTCTATTCATTATATTAAAAATAAAAATGATCAATGTTTTATATGACTAATAATTTTAATCTAGATAAAAATTAAATATTTATTTAACAAAAGTAATTAATATATAATTGTGTTGAAATTTTAAAAACCTCTACAAATTTATACACACTATTGTCACTGTCTTTGAATAAAAATACATACCAATTGTCTAAGTATGAAATTATATTCTGTTTTAGATAGTGCAATATATTGCAGAATAGTGGATTCTATATAATATTTATATATACAGTATTAACTATTTATATTTATTTATATATTTATAGAATTATAATCCATGAAGTAAGAGAACGTGTCATGGACGGACAAAAATTGGTTCTGTTTGTTTAGAACAATAAAATGTTAATATACGATTATAATATGTTTTACTAACTTAACAATTACATTTATTTTTTATTTTTGTAATGAAAATAAGTAACTAACAGTATTTTAATTAATAAAAGTAATAAATTTCTATTGATAGTATTGAATAAGTTTGAACGAAAATCACACGTCTACAGGCATAATAATATTAGATTTTGATAATGCCAAATAAAGCAAAAAATTATTAGTGTAATTTACATAATTAATTTAAAATTTATTACATAGTCATTAAAAATTAACTAAAAGCTAGATTCTTAAAGAGCCCATAATACTTTGAAAGTTTTGTCATCTCTATAATTTGATTTTTTAAATTCATTTTTTATGTCACTAATAACTAAATAATTCTATTATTGATTTTTAATTAAATCTGTTTTTAACTAGATCAAATAAAAATTAAAACTAATAAGCAATAATTTATGTTAATAAATTTTTATTGTTTCTTTGATAATGATGAAGAATTTGAATCTTTAATTTCATGCTAATCATCATCTTATTTAAAACATTTATTGAGAATAATGCTAAACAATAAACATTGTTTGCATTTGCTGAATGACAGTAATAGGCACAACCAACTTTGATATTAAATACACTACAATCTGGCCAATGTTTTATTGGTTTTTTTTTTTTTTGTAAGTGATTCCTACAAATATTATTTGATATGTACATACAAGTCGTTCAATGATATTTTAATTTTTCAATTTTTAAGATTTCTTTTTTTTTTTTTATCTAAATTTTTTTAGTTTCACAACAAATATACTTAAATATGATATATAGCTAACATATTAAATTAAAAAATAATATCAAAAGAATAAAATCAATTTTTTAAATATAACTTTAATGTAATTCTTTCAATTTCCCCATAAAAATGACTCCCTCTATAGAAAACTTCTGTATACACCACTGTTTAGAAATAATACTAAAATGTAAAATTTATAATTTACGGGCGTTGTGTAATAATAGAAATGAGATCTGATATGACAGCATCATCATTCATAGAAACAGCTGAATTCACAGCACTCTAAAACAATAATTTTATTTATTAGTATACATATATACATTAAGGTATACATTATTATAAACCTTAAAATTTTTGTTAGTCCATAACGTCTGTATAATATTAAGATAACGTTGTCTTTCCTTGAGCACACTCATGGTAGACTTATGATTTTTTGAAAGAATTTCTACTATATCTTCTTCATCATACATGATATTATTTAAACTCTAAAAATAAAAATAAATAAATTAAATATCATTTTTTTTTTTTTGTAAATTAAATACTCATATTATTACTGTTTACAAATAGTTGAAATAGTATATTACACATTACTTTTATTATATTGATTAAAATAAAAGTCGAAAATTGTATTAAATGATTAAAAAAGACATTAAACTAATGTGTAATATTGAATGACAAATTTTGTTTTAAAGTTTTAAAACATAATTTAATACTTTTCAACTTTTTATGTAATAAAAAATTTCGCACATTTCTACAAACATTTTTTAAATCCCCAAAATCATCTAGGGGAAGTTCAAATTTCTTTGAGATGATATCAGTCTTTTTATGTTCCGGTGTAACTAAGAAATCATCAGCCAACAGCCGTTTATGTTGAGGCAATGATGTAATTTCATCTGGGATTATTTTTCTTTGAGATTGAGGTGATGTGTACTTATGTCCATAAGCAAAATGATCTAAAATATTTAAAAAAAATTTATAGTTTTGTAAAAAAATATATACACAAAATTATTTTTTAACCATTTTGTCTAAAGACTGGTAAAGATGATGGACGTTTAGTTAAGCTTTCATTAACTACATTAGAAGATACACTACGCATTGAAACTGACGATGTTATATAAGGATTATGTCTTTTTTCAGATATCTCAACACTATCAGGTGTTGATATAGGAGTTGGTAAATCAGGAGTATGGTAATCACCAGAACTCTCAAACTGAGGTAACTGAAATGAATCGCAAGGAGTAGAATCCACAGATGAAGTTTCAGCTTCTGAATAACTGTTTTGCATTAATCCTTGAGAGAGGTCTAGTTAATAAAAATATAAATTTAAAAATTTAAATTACAATATAGCATAAAATATATAAGAATAATTTACCAATGCTATGTTTTTTTTCCTCTAATTTTGCAGAAATTGATTGATTTCTATTTGCTAAAAATTAAAATATATATTTAGCTTTTATTTTTTATTTATCAATTGTTTTATCTTACCTTCAGCAGTAAATAAATTATTGGAATTATCTGTAAAAATATGTTAACATAATTATTGATATAATTATTAAATACAATATAAATATTTATATTACCATCTTCAGATAACGGTGAAAATGGAGGTGGACTTCTATTTACTGAAAATTACACAAAATATTTAGTAAAAAAAATGTTATATAAACCATGCACTAAAATAAAAATGCTTTCAAACAGATTAAATATATTATTCAGTATTTAGAACAATAATTTAAAATTGTAAGTATATTATATTTATTTTCTTTGAATTTAAAATACATTTTTATTGAAATTTATTTCTTCATTCATTTATTGTTTGTTTATCAAGATTTAATATTTACTTGCAGACGTATCAGATTTTAAACAAATATTTAACAAGCGATCATCGTGCAAGACAACAAATAAATTCACTAAGATTAAATTTTGTTTGTCATCTAAATTACTATTGTATTTTAAATTTATGAAAAGTAATGATTTATTTACAAATAGACATTATATTTATATACATTCAATAACATGATAAACAGCAAAAATTGATTTTTGCTAAATACTGAATATATATATATATTTATTTGCAACTTTTGAATTAACATAATTTGTAAGTTTTTCAATTTATAGATACAGATAAAAATGTTAATATATATTATGTACTTGACAATTTTATACATTATATATAAATACCATTTTTAAATGATACATAATATGAAAAACATCTAAGTAAATAATGCACACAAACACATAAAAATGCTTAAGTGAATGTCAATATAAACATTTATAATAAAATCAATGATACAACATTAATTATTACAGTCTATAATACATAAACTTAAAAGTAAAGCAAAACTCGTTTTAAATTTCTTATGATATATTTAAACTGCTTAAATGTTTTAAGTTATAATTAGGGCTAGCCTTTTAATGCTAAATGTGTTATTTTTTAGATGCTCTTACGCCATGCATTCTATATACATAATTAATTTCATATAACAGATACTTTTCTAAAATAAAACTTTTATTTTGTAATTTTTGCATTTATCAATGTTTGTCAATTTTAAGAGCACTTAAACTATTTTATTATTTTTAAGTGTACATATCAAAACATTATAGGAGCTTTTAGCTTAAAAAATATTGCTTTTATAATACAGTAAGAGTTTACTAATCTAACTTTAGTGGAACCAGAGGTTGTCAAATTATTACCAATACAAAAATATGTTTGTTTATATTTTTAATTTATAATTTGTAAATTAATCAATTTATCAGATGACAAATTAAGAACTAACGAGTGACTGAAGTATTAAAGTGCATTTATTTATATTTGATCAGATGTATATTAAGTGTTTCCAAACCATATCATTTATGAACCTGTTAAGTAAGTATATTATCTTTTCAAATAATAAAAATTAAAATTAAATATATACGGTATGATATATTAATGAAATAAAATTTTTCAAATCAAATTTATCATACTTGAGAAAGAGTAGGGAAAAAAGTGTTGGATTATTGAGATTTCCAGACTGTCAGGCTAACGAGTTTCAAACTAAAGAGCTCTTACTGTATTTGCTTTAATATTTTTTTCAATTAGGTATTTTACATATGTACCAAATGTCAATTTTTATAAATAATATTCAATTTATTTATATATCTCTAGAGATTATTAGATATGTCTTACTAAGACATTAGTTTAGTTAGAATAAAAAAGTGTTAAAAATGCCAAAAGTTCAACAGTTGTTTTTTTCTAATTTGCGTGGTTGGTGTGCAAAAATGTTGGTCATTTTTTAAGCATTATTGCGTCGAAAAGCTATTTTTTATTTTTAAATATTTATTGATAGTTTTTAGGGCATTTAAATTTGATCCCTAAATTAAACAAGTAAAATTTGTAGATAATTACAAACATTAAAATAAATAGACATACTTACATATTCTACTTGGTTTAAATGCTAAATAATAATTTATAATATTATTAATTTTTTGTTTACATAAAAAATACCATTAGATAAAATAACTATACTTACAAGTTCTATTTGGCTTGAACACTGAATGGTAATCATGAACGTTATTAATTACAGTTTGATTTTCATCATCAAAATCAGTTTCGCTTTCATCAATTAATTTCATATTAGTTCTAAAAAATTATATAAATAAAAATATATAGGTAATAATCAATTTAAAATGAATACTTTTATAGAAAATAAATATTGAAAGCTAACATGATTCACAATGCCATAAATACATATTAGAAAACTTTCAAATTTGTTATTTTTTTTAAGTATTGTTTGTCATTTTTTTTTTTTTTTTTTTTTTTTAATTTTTTTTTTTTTTTTAACAATTTAATTTCAACTTTTTAGAAAGTGTTTCAACTTATAAACAATGCTATATCAACTTAAATCATAAATTAACTATTTGAGCTGATTCATATTATAGTTTAAAATAAATTAGTTTACCATTATAAATATTTCAAAATTTATAGTTCCAGTTGGATAAATTTCTTCTAATAATTTAACTTTTATTCAAGAGCACAACAATTAGCTGTTAAAAGAATAATAATTTGTAATTTATGAATGTTTTACATGCAAGGTACAATACTATTTCTTTAAATAAACGCTGATGGAGAATTGTCAGTACAATAGAATCGTTGATCACAAAGTTAAAATCAAAGATTAAATAACTAAATAATCGCTTGGAGCAACTAACAACTTAATATAAAACATTTTAAGCATCTAATCAAATATGTCTGCATGGGTTTCAGCATTGCCTAATAGAGTTTATTTAAAATAATTTCTCTACATATTATTTTTGTTTAATAATACCAGCATGAAAAAAGACCAAAAAAATTAACTAACAAGACCAACATAAGTTATTTCAGTTTTAAAATATGTATATATTTTTGACTTTTGCTTATGTTTAAAACTGAAATAGCCAAAAACTGATAGCTGAATTTCAAACTGTCAAAATAATTTTAAAAAGCATGTTTAAATCAAATAACATTTAAAAAATAAGTTTATCATTTAAAATTTTCAAAAACTAAATAAAAATAGTTTAAAAACAAATAAATTATTTATACTTACTTAGGTTTAATCATTTCTCGTGTTTTCTGTTTATTAAAACTTTTTCGAACACCAGTATCTCTTGTAAACATTGTATTAGTCTTTGATGACTTATCAGGTGGTGAAAATTGATTTTTAAACGGATATTCTTCAGGTAAATTTATTAACCATGTTGAAACATCTGTCAATAAATGTGAAGCACCGACCTATAAATATTAAATATTTTAAATTGTTTACATAAAATCTTCATAGAACATAAATTATAGACATTTAAAAAAATTAAATCAACATCTAATACAATAGAAATTTCAAATACACATTTATCTATGTACTTAACCATATATTTATTGTATTAAAAGTTTACACTTAAAATATTTAATAACTTACAATTCGATTATCTTTTACGACTAACTCGTTCATATTTCCCCATTTTACAACCACTGAATCACATACTCTGGTTGGTTCTACACCATATACCCCAAGGTAATCATTACCACCTCCATATAGAACATCTCCTTTGTCATTAAATTGTAAACATCTAGAGAAAACAATTTTAATCATTATAAACAATAAATGTTTTCCAATTAAAAAAATAAAATAAAATAAAACATGCTTAGTAAAATTAGTATTAATAATAATATACCTAATTATAGATTTTTCTGTATCTATTTGAGAAATAATACTAAATCGCTCCAAATCTAATATATTAATTTTATTATCTGTACCACTACTAGCTAATAAAAAGACTAATGGATGAAATTGAATTGATGTTACAGCTCCTTTATGTAGTTTATCAAAAACATGTATCATGCGTCCAACTCTCAAATCCCATATCTATAAAATAAATAGCATGAGTAAAATAGTTTTAATACTAATACATCAATAATCATACTAATAAAATAGTTATAATAAGAAAATATAAAAAATACAGTAAATTAAACTGAACTTGGAACTATTAAATAACTGTTAACACATTTTGATTTCAAATTACATTTTTTACTATTTGTTTATTGTTATTATTAGCAATATATTTAATACTTTATCGTGAGTTTATAATATAAATCTAGATTTAATTTTATGAAATACAATATATTTCATATAATTATATTAATAATATCCAATAACTAACCTTAACACATCCATCTTCATCTCCAGAAGCAATCCATAAACCATCTGGACTGTACTTTAAACTAGATATAGATGCTTCATGACCTTTATACATTCCTATACAATGTGAATATCGATAATCCCACAACTGTAAAAACAAATATGTTAATACATTATGCTATTTAACATATTTAATATAAGTACTTATTACTTAATTATTAAAACTATACCTTAACATTGGTATCTTTTGAACCCGTTACAAAATATGAAGATGAAGCAAAAGGAAAAAAATCTAATTTTGTAACAGCTGACTTATGTCCACTAAATGTTTTAACCTTTTTTCCTTTAGTTAAGTCCCATACTTTTAATCCGCCTGTTTGGCTACCGGCACCCACTAAATATTCAGATGGATCAAATTGTACACATTCAATTGGAGTTACATGACCACATAAGCTCTAAATACATGAAAATTGTTTAAACAAATATTTATTTTTTTACATAAACATAAGATACTTGAACTTTTTATTGAATTATAACACATAACATTTTAATAGAAACAATTATTACCATAAAACATGTTTCACTGTCAACTTTCCACAAGTTTACTTTGTTATCTGCACCACCAGTAGCTAATACTAATCCACTCTTTTGACCAAGAGCCAAACAAGTAACATTTGCATTATGTGCAGCAAATTCTTCTATATAAATACAAAAATTAATACAGCTATTGTTTATAAAATTATTTTATCATGAAGTTTTAATTAAACCAATATAGATGTATACAAATAGAATAAAAAAGTTTATGATAGGTACTCATCTCAATTATACCTCACTTGATAGTAAGTCACAATTAATTAATCATTTCAAATTAAATACATTATTTAGAAAACAATTTTGAATGGAATCTATATTAGTTGTGATATTTAAAAAAATTTTAAAATCTTAGTAAAACTTCCGTTAATGATCATTATTTGATAATTATTTTATTATCATCCGTATATAATAATAATTATCTTATTTTCTATCAATTATTATGAAAAAATAATTGCATATAGCAGGCATTTTAAGTAACAGTCAAAATATTAGTATCCAAAATAATAAAATGTTAAATTAATTTTATATCATTTATAATTATTTATCAGTTTATAGTTATTCTATCAATCATTTACACTGAAAAAATATACATGATGAATCTGTATGTTTTATTTTTCATTAGTGTTCAATATCAATTGACAAAGTCTCAATGTGCATAGTTTCAATGGTGTTTAAATAAAATAAAAAAAAAACTAATAAACCACAAATATAACAGAAAAAACCAAGCTGTTAGATTTTCACAAAAACTAAAATAAATTGAGAAAACTGTAAACTTAAGAATTTAAGCCACTAAAGAAAAAAAAATGACAATTTTTAAATCATATGAATTCAACAATAATTATGAAATGAAAATTATAAATGTCAGTAAAAAATTAATTTACAGTTATTATTCTTCAAAAAAAAGGGAAAAGTTGGAAACCGCTTAACTATACAATACATTTTGAATGTAAGTACCTCATTAATAGTAAGTCACTATAATGGATGGGTTAAATTTGAAATCAATGATAAATAATGCCATATGGAAAAAATTATGAGTAAAGACATCTGTTAGCCTAGTGCCCTAGTACATATAACCTATAACCTGGTTATAAAATATATACAAGTATATTTTATGTTGTATTTATATTGTTAATTAAGTATAATTTATTTTACCATTAGTAATGTGGTAGATACCATTGTTTTTGCCAAAAACATTATGTTTGAAAATGTTATTACCCATAAATAATTTTCCGAAATTAAAAAAAAAAAAAAAAATAACCAAAATTATTATTCACAACTTATTTATCAAATTGCATAGAAATTTTATAAAATAAAAACTTTTCTATATACTTATTAGAATTTTTGATTAAAGTATAATCTTGTTATGAGAAACCTGATATTTAATTTTCAAAATGTTTGACTTATTACAAAATTATTAATTGACTTTGATAGAAAAAAATTTTTAAATTATTTTAAACATCTTGAATAGAATCGAAAATTTTTGAAAATTATTATGTATAGAAAATCATTATTAAAACATTTGGTGAAAAATTTAAATATTTACGGTTATTGGTTTTTTAATTACAGCAAAATATCAAAAATCATTTGAAGAGAAATAATTATTTTACGGGTGAATATATCCAATGTTTTCAAAAATTTTTACTTCAAACACTCATACAAAAATAATTTGAAATTTTTGTATAAAATGTGAAAATTTAAAAGAAAAATGTCGAGATTTTTAATTGGTAAATGAACAGCTTATGAGAAACTTTGAACTACATTTCAAGCATTTTTACCTAGCAAATAATTTTTTATCAATTTTTATACTCAACAAAAAAATTTAATTGTCTATAAATAGCTCAAAGAGTTAAAATATTTTGAAAATGATGTCATGTATAAATAATGATTACATTTGGTGAAAACATTAAGAATCTAGTATACAGTTATTCATTTTCGAGATATATCAAAAAATTAAAATCGATTTAGTCGAACATTGGATTTACGTAATAATGTCCATTTTTCCATAATTCTTTTTTTGTATTTCCTTATTATTTCAATAAACACTTAAAATTTTTAGATCTAATTAGCTCTTAGACAGTGGCGTAAATTGGGCAGTGCAAATCTACCAAATTTGTTTGTTAAACAAGTATGTACAAAATTATGGTTGTCGTGATTGTGTCTTTTTTTTGTATTAATAATTACGCCCTTCCGTTATTATTATTAATATTGTAATTGTGATAATGTAATATTATAATTTCTTTTCTTTATAGATTGTTATCAACAATTTTACCGCATTACCGCCAAAATAGTATGTTATCAGTTATCACTTAGACAGGGTTTTAGTGTCTTACTCAGATCTAAGGAATCTTAAATGAGTTTGCATATTTTTCAATTAATCATTCAAAACATAACTAAATAATATAAAAATTTGTTTCATAGTACTAGAAGTGTAAAGCAATTATTTTTACTTTGCATATTTTGCATATTGCACTCTTTTTTCCTTTTAGGTGCATTTTTTATTATATTTGGATTTAAAATACATACTTCACATATTTTGTTTAAAAAAAAATTTGAAACAATATGTGACAATAATGTTTTATACGTACTATACAATATTTAATATTAATTTTCTAGAAATTGAAAAAATAGAGTAAAATTATTAAATAATAATTTAGCTATTACATGTTTTCCCAATGATTTGTGTATTGTAAAACATAGTCGGTCGATAAGGAATACACAGAATACAGTCAGTTTATGTCAATTCGTCTGTTGGTATCGTATGTGCTTTTGTCTAACGTTAATATAATTAGTATAATATTCTTGACTGATACAGTTATTTTGTCGTAAAAATTTAATTAAAAATCTCTTATATAATAATAAATAAATTTGTAATTTTTGGTTTCTTAATGAATAATAAAATATTAATAAGGGCGTAAATGCATGCATATTTTAAGGTTTTTTAGAAAATGAAATTTCTAGCCCTTGTTACTACCATTCCATTATTTTTCATATTTTGTATTGTATAAAGTCTAAAGTCTAAACTCTAAATCTTTTAATATTTTACATTTTTTTTCATGATTTTAGTGTATATAAAAAATACATAAGTATTTAGAATTTAAATAGATGAAATGTTTAAAATTCATGAAGTATTTAATTGGTTTTTGTATTATACTAATAGAACTAATAGCACAACATTAATAAATGTAATTAAACAAATACTTTTAAAAAACTATTTAAAAATTGAAGATATACATGGCCAATTTTATGATGAGGCAGCTGCCACGCATGACAAATAGAATAGAGTAAAAGCTTAGAATCCTTGAATTAAATCTGCTAGCATTCTGTGTATACTTCAATGCTCGTATATTTATCTCTAGTTGATCTCACAAAATAATTATTTCTCATATAAGAACATAAGAAATATTTTTGATGGCTTACAATTCTTACACAATTTTATAAAAGTATTGTTCAAACATAATGTAATCTATGAATTTATATGCTCAAACACATCTAAAGTAAATGGTACAAAAAGTTTTAAAAAGTTATGTGAAACAAGATGGAATTGCGGCACCAATGCTTTGAAATCAGTTTATTTAAACTTAAGTAAGATTATTGAAACACTAGAATGTATATATATGACCATGAAGCACTTTCAGGAGGTGAAGCCAATAATGTTATGAATAATTTATTAAATTTTGAATTACTATTTTTTTTATTATTTAAAAAAAAAAAATGTTTTTGAACAAACTCACATGCCATCAAAATATTTGCAGTCCACAAATGTTAACTATTCTATAGCTATTCTAAAAATGACTATGGGGCAAGAACAGTTTAATAGTTAAGTTATTTTACAACTTTAAAAAATGTATATAAATATTGACATAACATATAACGTGAGGTCTATAACTCAAAAAGAGTCAAAATATTTAAAAAATTATATTATTTTTTAATTTTAATATTTATAGCATGCATCACAGTTGTTTTGAATTCTTATAAGAATTAACTTTTTAAATTTTTAATGGTATATAACTATACAACTTTTCAGTATACAAATTTAATAAATGCATTTTTTTTTAGTATGTATATATTATATATTTGGTAATTTTTTTTTAAACTTAAACAAAGTGATGAATGTATTGATTTTACAATATTTTTTTTTTTTTGTTTGTGTACACACAAAAAGTAGTAAATAATATGCTTTGATTTTCAACTTTGAGAATTATTTAGAAAGCATAATAAATTTTAAGGAAAACTAGAAATTGTATACTCTTTTAGCAAAAAAATTTCTTATAATTTTATTACTAATGACCATAAGTACTAGAAATGTTTAAGAAATTTTTAATTAATCATTTTATACTTAGAATATTTTGACTCTTTTTGGGCTATTTATAAACAATTAATTTTTTTTTTGTTTTATATAAAAGTTGGTAAAAATTATTTGTAGGATAAAAATAGTTAAAATTTAAAAACAAAGTTCTTCATGAACTGTTCTTATAGATAAACAAAAATATTTAAAATATATAGCACAATTTATTTTTATTAGCATTTGAAGGTCAAATTTTGACAAAATCACAAAAAATTGCTAAGAGTTTGAACTTTAAAATGTATAAAATATGTTATTACTTATTATTAATGCATATTTAAACCACGAATAATATTTATTATTTTATTATAATTCAAAAACATTATTTATGGGTACATAGAACTTTAGAAAATTATACATTATATACACAATAACATTTTCAAATGCATTGCTTTTGACAAAAATTCAACTTATTTTATCATAAATATTAACATAAATCAGTACTTAGTGATATAATATGTTCATAGAACATCTCCATTCAGAGTAATTTGTCGAATAAAATTAAACATCATCAAATTTAGATTTAATTATGTAGATTTTTAATAGATTTATCCATCACAATGACCCACCAGACAACTACTGTATAGCATAACAGTACCCTATTATCAACCTTTTTTTAAATTTTCATGCACTCTATAAAGCAATGATTTAGAGGTATTTCACTTCTATCTAAGGTTATCTCTATATAATGGTCATCTATAAATAGAGGTCATTTTTTTGATACTTTTGGTGACTATTACATAGAAGTTTTACTATACAACAAAAACTTATAAAAAAAATAATATATATACATATAATTGAAAAAAATGAGAATTTTCAGTATGTAATACAATATTTTTTTTTTGCGTTACAGATATATAGTAATATCATGAACCAAACATTACAAGATTTAAAAAAATATATTTTAACTTTTAAAAATATTATTTAACATTTCTTTTCAAAATAAGAACAATTTTATATAAATGTAAAATGTAATTAATTATTATTTGGCTCATAATAAGTCAGTCTCATACATTTTGTTTTATCTATACTTATAATAGTTATACTTACGTAATTTGCAAATATGTTTGTTTGGGTTTGCCATTTTAAATACATGTACTCTGAAAAATTAAAATTGAATAAATAGTTTTTTTTTATTTAAATCATATAATTTATTGCAAAAATTCTAAAATTTTAAATATCAATTGAATTTTGATTTGTAAAAACACATGTAATTCATGTAATTTACAATTTTCATAAAAATTATATTTTATTCATACATTACTAAGTAAATATTTGGTTAATATAATAATGTGTTAATTTAAATTAATATATATTAAAATTTAAATAATTTATTTAAGATTATATTAAATTAATTTAATGATGGTTCTTTTTATTATGATTTACTATTAATAATTTCAGTAAATCAAAAAAAACTCTCTTCAAATTACTTAAGTATAAAATGTTAAAAAGATTTCCAATGAGTATTACTAGGAATCAATTATTATTTAGAGTTCAAATTTTATAAATGTTAAGAAAAAACTATACAAATTTTGTTATTAATAAGAATCTATACATTTTTCTACACTAAAAATGTATATTTAGGTGATCTGAATGTTTAAATTATTCTTTATTACTTATTAATAATCTATTTTAAATATTTGATGATTTTTACTTTTTTTTAGTTAATGAACAACTTCTGTAAATGCATTACCTATTGAATTAATAGTTTTTTTTCTGAAGACATTTTAAATACAATCTTTTATAATAAGTTTTAATTTTAAATTTAATTTAAGAACTATTAAATCTAGTTCTTTTAAAACGCATAAGATATTATTTTATAAATAACAATATAATTGCAAAAAATTCATATTTATTACGATTAAAAGAATAATATAATAGGAAGTAAAATCATGTTAGTCTTTAAATAACTTCAGTAAAAACTTGGTTCTGTATAACTTTCAGAGGCGGATTTATCTTTTTTTACGGCTCTAGGCACCAAAAATTTGCCGCCCTTACAATAGATGAACAATTATTGAACACATTACCGCAACCATATACCATACATAATATAGAAAAATATAAAATATAAAATTAACAACTACAAAACACTACAAAATTTACCGTCCCCCTCAAATTTTGCAACCCTAGGCCTACAGTGCCTACAGTGCCTAATAGGAAATCTGCCTCTGATAACTTTGATAAATGTTGAATAGGTAATTAATTTTATAATTAATTAATATTAGTAAGTAATAGAAAAACATTTTGTAAATTGATAACATATACTATTAGCTTAAGTACTATTAACATATTGCTATTAGGTATAATAAAACACTTGTTACCAAATTTAATAATAATAATCAATTAAATTTAAACAAGCTCAGCAAACATTAAAATAATAATTAATAACTGAACACCATAAATAAGAAATGTTCTATAGTAGATCATTTATGTTGAAGTGAAAATACTGAAATTTTTTTTATACCTACTTAGTTTTGTTAAGTATACAAAATAATATCACAACAATTTTATTTTTTATAACATAAAATGTAAAAATTAAACATTAAAAAGATTAATGACTTGAAAAATATAAATTTATAATTATCATAAATTCAAAGAGAATTATTATTATATATTTAATTATTATACTATGCAAATAGTTTAAGTTAATTAATAAACAAAAATTGATAGTAACTAACAAATGTTAACAGTTTTTATTTGTTTTTTATACTATTAATAAAAGTTTAGGTATAATATTAGTAATACAATAATGAAAAATGTATAATAATTTATTATTTAATAATATTAATAATATTATAATTGATTATACTATTCCTAATATCAATTTATTGATTATTTTTATCAACAAAAACACATATTCTATTGTAGTAGAAATGTACACATGTAAGGTATGTGTTTATTACTATTTTTTTTTTTGTGTTTAGTAATATTAATATGTAAGGTTTAATGAATAATGTGATAGAAAAAATAAATACTAGAAAATAATATTTTAAGAAACATTTAGAAACTAAGATTTTTATTTAAATTTGAATATTTCATAGATAATAAAAAAGTTAAGAAAGTTTTGTTATCACATAACAACTAAAGTTTTTAATTCATTTTATCGTATAATAATATTAATTTAAATAAGTATGCAAATAATAAATTATGTATGATAATTAAAATTTACTATTTATATGATTATTTAACTCTATAATTTCAATTTCAGACATGGATTTAAAAAAATTCTATAAGTTAAAATTTTTTTCTGCAAAATATGTGCAAGCAGATTAAATATTTTGTTAAAATGTTTATCAAAATTTTCATTGTTAGCTCATTCCTTTATTTAATTCATTAAAAGTTAATTTTATGGAGTCTACCATTATTTCATTGAGAATTTAGTATTAGTTTCTAATTATGAGTTTTAAAAGTGATTATTTATGTTAAGTTAATAATTAATATTTCAAATGTTTAAAAGTTTTTTTGAGTTTTGGAGTTTTATGATCTATATTCTGCACTTTTTTTTTTTGTCTTTTATGAGAAACTTATCTTAAATCTTTTTCTCAAGACTATTTCTTTGTTTATCAAAAAATTTATCTAACCATATTGATTATATATAAAATAGAGTATTTATTTTATTTTTGACCCTAACAACGTTTCTAAACATACGTGATGTACTAGTGTGTTAAGTTTATTTAACTCGTTTATTTCATAACTAGGTAAAAAATGTCTTAAACTTACATTTGCAGAGTGTCGCATAAACATAAATTCGATTGAATATAGTCAAACGATGGATACAAAAGCAGCCCGAGTAGTTGGTAAAGACTTTGACCGCGATTTTGAACGTCGTTTGGATTGACGTTGCTTCTTACACGAGGAAAGGCTGGAAAAAGGTCAGCGAATTCGACTACCACGGATAACTGCTGCAGCTGTGCGTAATTAAAAATTGTATTTTGGCGTTTAGCATTGCCGTTATAATGGTGCACTCGTCCAGTCAATGTTTTGGTTTTTTTTTTTTTTTGATAATGACAACGATGATAAGAAATTTGCTCCGTTTACAGTGATTACGTTTTATCAGTGGTTTGTCAGACGCGCAATCCCATGAAACTCAACCGTACAATAAATCACCACCACCCTCCCACCATTATACCCCACCGAAGATCGGTATGACCGTAATAGTGTAATACTATGTCTGTGTGTAGGACGTAGGTCATGGGTACAAAACAAAATTAAAAATGTACAAAACTTAACTACGAACTAATCTGAATAACCGACGACTGATGTTCTGTATTTCTGTGGCAGTGTGGGCAGTCGTGTGCACGACGTCCGTTTTTCTGTTCACTGTGTTGCCGTGACAATAACAATAAATAAATAATACCTAACAATATTAATATATTGTATGAAAACATGTACAGTATGTCACACTACCGCAATGCCGCCGTTAGGACTGCACGCAGATTTAAGGTCACCACACACGAGTACGTGATCACAGGTGTCGGTTACTTAAAAGTTAAAAGTAATTAGGTATACGAAGTAAAACGTATTCTTTTGAACGATAATGATATCAAATATTGAAATATGTATTAATATTGTCTACAGTTTCCTTTTGACCGCAAAATATTATTAACCGTAGTATCGTGTACCTACATTAACGACGTATAAACGATGTAGAACACTTAATCGTTCGATGAGATTACCTCCAACTATAGTGTTTATTTTTTTAAATGGCCATCAAACACGTTTTGACCGTATACAATGAATATTATGTTGAACTATAATCTATTACACATCACAAACGTCCCAATGAATGTCATCGTACCTATGGTACTATTAGTACTTTTACTTTAGTACGTCCTCGATCAGCGGATAATAAATAAATTACCGGCTTGGATATAATTGTAAATAATAATTAGATATGAACGGTATAAATCCACACTTTATTTATATTCTAATGGAATGTAATAATTAATATGATTTTTTTTTTTAGATGTCTGCAATGGTAAAAAAAGCTTGTTCATCAAAATAAAATATTTTTAAAAACATAACCATGTGTACCGTATTATCGTACTTATGTATTCACTTTTCTAAATTTATGTATGAATATAATTTATAATTATAAAATTTAGATATAACAGTCCAAGATAAATACTTAAACTATTCAACCTTAATTCTATTCAGAGCCAGGGTAATGCCTTTTAGGGGAACAACACAGAGCTGTTGCTCCACAATGTGGTTAATTTTTTAAAAATATTAATTGTTTTAGTCAATTCATTACTTCATTTACTTATTTCTTACAATTAATATTAATAATATTATATTTTAGATTATGAACTATTGTGCTGAGCATTGAATGTATTGATTTTATTTTTATTTTTTTGTATATAAATACCTACACAAAAAGTTGATGATAAAATGCGATTATTAATTAATCTATTTATTATTTATTTTCAAAAATAGGAATGGTTTTGTATATCAGATTGGATTTGGTTTTTACTTTAAAGAACTAAAGAAGACAAACTTAGAAATTCCGAGTAAGTACTTTTTTTTATAATTGAGAAAAACAAACAAAAATTAAGGGAAAACAGGAATTTTTACGGAAATCCAATTTTTGACAAAATCATTTTGTTTTTTTTTGACGTAACTCTAAAACAAATAACTGTTGATACCTAAATTATCCTAACTTTCACCAAATGTTAATATTATTGTTTTCTATTTATAGTAAAATTTTCAAAATATTTTGGCGATATTTAAAATATTTATAGGCATAAGAAATTTTCTTTTTTTTTAGTTTTTTTTTTTATAAATATCGAATAAAAATTATTTGCTGAGTAGAAACATTTGAACATTTAATCTAAGGCTCCTTATAATATGTTGTTAATTTTTCAATTCAAAAATATTAAAAATGTATACTAACAATATTTTTTTATAAGCATTTAAAGTTAAAATTTTTACAATACCATTGGAATTACAAAAATTAGTAAATTTACTTGTAAGTTAGAAATTCATAAAAACTTTTTTTTTTGTATTTAAATTTTAAAAATTTAATACATGATCTTTTATAAATATTTTATACTTTAACCATAAAATCAAAAAAAATGTATTAAGACAATTATTTTTTATAGACATTTTAAGTTTCAACTTAGTCGAAATTATGTATTTGAATTATAAATAACGATATTTTAATCATTTTGTTATAACTAAATAACACTATCAATGGAAACTTAAACTTTTATGTATAATATATAATATATAAATATAATATATATTAGAAATATTAATGACTAATATTCCCTCAATTTTTTCTACTACTATAGTAAGCAATAATAATTCTTGTTCGATGTAATTATAGGTAGTTATGAATGTTATGATACTAAGTTATTACCAATTATTTTTGACCATTAAAATGAGTAGAATCTAATTTATTGGAAATTGAAATTAAAATGGAAAATTATATCATAGTCCACGATATTAATATATATATATATATATACTCAGAATGACGGGATGACTATCGATAAGATTCAAAGAAAGAATAATCTATATATACGCATTAATTAAAGTTTGAATAATTTATTAGATATATTGTACATATTTTATGCATGGTTAGTTTTTAAAGTATTGTTTTACTTGTAAAACAATTATGAATACCGTGAACATCTATTTTATAAAGTCTATAATAGATATCAGTTTATACTTTATAGTTTATGCAGTCAATAATCTAAAGTGCAATTACAATATATAATATATTGTGCAAATTGGTGAGATTATATTATACTCAATAATATTTTAGTATTTACCAATTTATAAACTTTTTGGTTAATTTAAGACACCTATATGCCTATAAATTACATTATATTTGATGGTGCTTGATAGATTACTAATGTGTACGACTTTCTATTTACTAATTTTTCTAAGCACATTCAAATGTGTAACTGTTATCTAAGTACATGCCTCAACGGTTTTCATCAAGATAATAAAAACAATTTTTTACTATACTAAAGTATTAAATTAACCTCCATCCCTCTTGACGTTTTGTCAAAAATATTTGATACCAATATTAAAATTAAATAAGTCTTTAAAAAACAGATAAATGAATAGTGCATAGTACATAAAGTACATTGTAGTAATCGTATATACAATGTAATTTAATTCTATACTGCATTCAGCAGATTTATAGATCATAGTGAAGTAGTATAATATGCTATAATGATTGTTAAGATATTAAATTATTCCATATTATGTTCGGGTGCACTTAGTGTTATAATTTAAAGGCTTAAACTATGAATATGACTATATAATTACAGCATGATTAAAATTTTAAATAAACATTAAATAATTTCATTTGTGAAACAAATGACATAAGATAAGTACCTATCTAATTATTTTTTTATCTATAATATACACGCAGTATTGGCGTATTGCTCGTAATTATTATAAATATATTATGAGTTATATCTTGCATGTTTATATATTATTTTAATTTATAGTATATTAGTAAGTAAATATAGTATTTAATAGTCAATTATATTGTCTACGGTTTAAATATTGGTCTTTAATGGTGACGACAATATTATAATACCTATAAATAATAAATATTACGATCTCATAAATTATAATTGGTATACTTAAAAATTAATTAATATTAAATATGAGCTAATTTATTACAGTAGTATAAAGTATTGATACAATGAAAGTCAATCTGTAATTATAATACAAATATAGTGTTATTAGTTATTACGTCTTATTATGTTTACGTGCCTATACAACATAATCATTTATCATAAACAATAATGTTAATTTATAATTTTCTTACTATGATCAGTATGATCATTGAATAAAAGTAATATATTTCTCACCGATCTATATCAGATTGGTTAGCAAAATAGTTTAATTTTGTAGACAGAGTTCGTAGTCATCATTTCATACATGTAACATGTATGCGTTTTATAAAAATTAAACAAAACATAAATTATAAAAACACTGGAGACTAAACACGAGAGAGCATAGTGATATCAAAACAATATTTATTAAGGTTAACTAATATAAGCACCTAATTATAACAGGAAATATTTAATATTAAGTTTTTTGCACGAGTCTAACAGGTAAAACCATACAACAATATACACCTACATTAGTTACTTTTTTTTCTACATTGTAGGAAAAATAATAGATGTTATAACTCGTGAAAGTTCTTATTTGTACGACAACAAAAATAAGACACCCAATGTGAAATATAATTACATATATAACGATGATAACAATTAGATATCTGTGGTAATTCCAAATCTTATTTAGTAAAATGTGTTGTGTTTAGAAATAATCAACAAACCGTAAAAACTGTAACTAAACTTTGTAATTTTATTTAGTAAATTATATTTCAATTAGGTTTAGTCGGTGCAGCCGTACAGGTACCTACTCTTTTGTTTACTTATAAGTCATGACTGTAATTTTCTACTAAAATATTAAGTTTCTGACAACATAACATACACATGCAAATATCGTATACATTTATTGTTATTAATTATTATTGAGTAGGTATTCAATGTATTTTTTTATTTACCAAGGTCTGATATCGATGTAAAATTAAGATAAATATTAACTTACAGAAAAACAGATTTCAATCACATCAACTAATTAGGTAATATATTTATAGCTTATGTAATTTAGTGAAAACTGATTTTAACTGAATAATGTATTTTTATGACAAAGTATTTCAACTCTATCACTATACATATGTAGATTTTAACAAGAACTAACAAGTAACGTGTATCAAAAATACTACGTAGGGGGTATTCATATATAAAATCCATTTACATAATCTATATCCATATAATATTTGTGTAGAAAATTCCATTATCCTACCTATGGTAGCAGTTATCATTTTTTTTTTTTACTACAATACAATAAAGTTCTTCTATTTTATACATTATATTCTTTTTTTATATAAATATTTATTAATAAATAATTCTATAAAATATAGATAAATTATAATAAATACAAGTACAATATAATGACTATT